AAATTATCATTAACATACTCCTTCATCCACAAAATTCGTTACTTCTCGTCATAAATAACAATCTTGAAAAACAAAATTCCTGTATAGTTCGCACAGCCTAAAATTCCAACTTTTGAACATGTATAGTCCGCAGACTATAGCGCGGAAAATACTGTACTTTGAGTTACTATTGACCCAATTAACTTTAAAGGGGTGGTGCAACGATTTTCTGACTGGCTAATTAACTGCAGAAATTCATCTGTGGCACCCATGGAACGAAGAACAGAAAACCGTATCTCCTCGTGAGCGCTAGTTTTTGTGTAAAAAAAATGAAACAAATCGAAGGTCAAAATGCCTCTCAACTCTCCACGTTGCCTTTCGAGTGGCATACTCTGGGGGATCACATGGTTTCCCCTTGGGTTTTTTCTTTAGAGACCCCAGCCGCTTTCTCCGCGATTATCGACTTTTAAAGGATTAGCATCGTCAAAGGTCGCGGTGTAGCGATTGACACACAAGACGGATTGCTACAGGGGTGACGGCGAGTATAGCTGTGGAGGAGGACAGATTTTGTTTACTTCCGCGTATCCCCCAGAGTATGTGACACCTATAGTTCCGTTAACTACCACAACCGGCTGCAGGTTGGCAAACATTTTGTTTTCTTCTTTGCGACTACGCACCGGAATAGAAATTTTTTGGGGCAAGGTGACGCGTTTTTGGTCATTTGTGCTTGGAGAAAGAATATAAAAATTCAAATTGCCAATTCTTTCAACACTGAATTCGTTGCACTACCCCTTTAATTTGGCCTAGATGACATTTTGGGAACTCTCTTGATTACTTCAGTTAGTATACCACCAGTTCACCTATTACAAGCTCAATTCACATTATTGTTACTCTTTTGATTACTTGGAGTTACTTTTGACCCAGTTGACTTTAATTTGGCCTAATTGACATTGTGATGACTGTTTTGATCACCAATTGATCTACTATGAGCCTAAATCACTTTAATATTACTCGTGATTACTTTGGGTTACTTCTGACCCAATTGACTTTAATGCGGCCTATGTTATATTGTGTTGACTCCTTTGATTAGTTTGTTCTTTCAACCAATTGATTTATTATGAGGCTAGTTGACATTATGATTACTGTTTTTATTATTTTGAGTTACTCTGGCCCAATATGTTTTAATTTGGCATAATTGACATTTTGGTGATTTTCTTGATTACTTCAAGTTATTATACCACCAATTGATCTATTATGAGCTCAAATCACATTCTTATTACTCTTTTGATTACTTCAAGTTACCATTGGCCTAATTGACACTGTAACACCTTTTCGATTACTTCGAGCTAATATTCAAACAATTGATGTATTATGATATATATTAGCTCAAAGTAATCAAGAGCCATTGAAATGTGAATTAGGCCCAATTATGGTTTAGTAGGTTAAAAATAACTCAAACTAATCAAAAGTGTAATAATAATGTGAACTGAGCTCAAAATAGATCGATTGGTGATATAACTTTAAGTAATGAGGTGTCACCAAAATGTCAATTATGCTCAATTGAAGTCCGTTGGGTCAATAATAACTCAAAGTAATAAAAAGAGTAATCATCATACTTATTGGGCTCATAGTGAATCAATTTCTTTAATATTAGCTCAAAGTAATGAAAGCAGTCATCGCAATGTCAATTAGGTCAAATTAGAATAAACTAGGTCAATTCTAACTCAAAGTAATAAAAAAAGTAATCAAAATGTCATCTAGGCTTATAATAAGTCAATTGGTTCAATATCAGCTCAAAGTAATCAAGAGTCATTGAAATGTCGTATAGGCAAAATTAAAGTCCATTTGGTCAAAAGTAACTCAAATTAATCACAAGAGTAATCATCATGTCTATTGGGCTCATAAATATTCAATTGGTTGAATATCAGCTGAAAGTAATCAAAACGGTCATCACAATGTCAAGTAGGGCAAATTAAAGTCAATTGTGTCTAGTAACTCAGAGTAATCAAAATAGTAATCATAATGACAACTACACTTATAATAAATCAATTAGTTGAATATTAGTTCAAAGTAATCAAAACAGCTGTCACAATGTCAATTAGGCCGAATTAAAGTCAATTCGGTCAAAGGTAGCTCAAAGTAGTCAAAAGAGTAATAATAATGTGGATTGAGCTTGTAATAGATGAACTGGTGGTATAGCAACTCGAAGTAATCAAGAAAATCCCCAAAATGTCAATTAGGTCAAATTAAAATTAATGCAATCAAGAGTCATCATAATGTCAATTAGGCTGTACTAAAATCTATGGGTCAAACATAACTATAAGTAGTCAAAAGAGTAACAGTATTGGGAATTGAGCTAATAATAGATGAACTATTTGCATAATAACTCAAAGTAATCACAGCAAAACCACAATGTTGATTGGCTAACATAAAGTCTATTGAGTAAATAGTAACTTGAAGTAATCAAACTACTAATTTTCACATCAATTAAGCTTATAACAAATCAATTGGTTGAATATTAGCTCAAATTAATCAAGTGATCAAGACTTCAATTAGGGCAAATTGAAGTCCATTGGTCGATAGTAGCTCAAAGTAATCAAAAGAGTAAATATAATGTGACACATGCTCATAATAAATTGGTCAGTTTATAATTTGCTCAAAGTAATGTCCAGAGTAATCATGATGTAAAATGGTCAATTAGGCCAAATCAAACTCCATTGGGTCAATAGTAAGTCAAAGTAATCAAAAAAGTGACCAAAATGGTAACTGGGTTGAGAATAAATCACTCGGTTGTATAAAAGCTCAAAGTAATAATGAGAATGAGGATTATGTCAGACCAATATAAAGTCAAAAAGATCAGTAGTTACTCAAAGATATCAATAATGCTGATATAAACTCAGTTCTGTGAAAGGATTGGAGAAAGGTAAAAAATATCCACTCAGTAATTGAGTTAATTTAAAGTCAATCAGGTGGCTAGTAACACACAGTAATCAAAGGAGTACTAATTTGAAATTTTAACCAAACTTTTATGTAGTTGCATTTGTCAGCTATATTTGAAAGTAATTGACTCAGTAATGAAAATTTTTCTTCTATAAAGTTATTTGTGTCAATGATACCTGTGTAACCAAAAAGTAATCAGAAGGTTCAAATGAATTCTACCAAGGTATATTTCGTTCCATAATTCCTCGAAGTAATCGAGGGAGTAATTCAAAAATGTTTGTGGAACTTTTATCTTGTAATTTGTGCTATTAATGGGATGAAGTAATTAGAATTGCAAGCCATACCTCCATTAAGCTTTTAAGTCAGAAGTGTCAACAATAGTTGACACTTCTGACAAAGTAATCACAAAGTGCAGTTACACTTTTATTATCTGAATTTTATCAATAATAAGTCTCCACTTACTGAGGCGCACCCATGGCTGGTCTTGGGCGTGCCACAGTAACCGTGCTCTATAAATTGCGAACCTTTTATAGGGCGCTGCGCTTTTGGAGTTCCCTTTGCCGAAGAGAAAGCTCCCTATGAAGCTCACTCAGCACAGAGAGCGACGCAACCGTTTTTAGGCTTAACCACATTCACAATACCACCGTCCGAAAGCGGATCACAGACGACGGCGGGTTTGTTGACATCAATGCATCCGATGGACGAAGCACGTCTGGGGCTGGGCGATTCCTCGACCCCAGCTTTGCTAGGCGTGCACGCTGCTCGGTTTCTCGGTTGATCACTTCCGCAACCATGCAATTGCAGCCATTACAAGAGCGGCTTGGCTTGACTTGGCCTGGCCGTTTGGCGTCAAAAACAAAATTGGCTTCAAGACTCACGGATTTGAAAATTAAATGTGCATTCGTTATGCGAGAAAAAGAAAAATTTTCATATATTGGTGCCCGTTGTGGGGGTGCGTTCATTATGCGAGTAAATACGGTAGTAGATACAAGGTGTTGGTCACTGTTACCAGTGGCCATTGCCGACTTGTTATGCCCGATTCACTTGGTCCGATTCTGTTTGCGATTTTCAGTATCAACGTCAAGCATCGCAGCTACCGTCCATGCTTTTGCAGCTCAAGCGACATCAAGACTGAAAATAGCCAGCTGAATCTCGATCCTCATGTCAATCAGGCTTTAGTGTTCATTATGCTGCATCCCTGCAGTTAATTGTTGCACGCTACATTATTCCCACGAAGTTGTGAGGTGTAACGAGCCCTGTTAGTTTCGCTCAGGGCTTTAAAATTGTAAGACATTGCTCGGACGACAAAAAATCAACAATCCCAACGCGAAAAAGAGCATGGTGACTTGCACAGATGCCGATAACATCACAGTCCAACGGTTTGTCAATGCGGGACATGGCGCTTCTAGGTCACACCCCATCACACATGCGCAGTGTTGGTGGCGTGCCACTAAAAGTGCTCTGGTTTGTTTGCGAACATGAGTTGGTGTATATACAGAGTTACATCCATTAATGGTATTATAGTATTTACCAGTTCAAACCATTCCAGGTTAACTGTACTTCTTGTTCTTGACCTTGCAGCATGAATTTATAGTTGAAAGCTTGCCAACAAACAGCATGCTCTCTTTCTTTGTGTGCATGTGCATTATGGTGAATTTTGATGAAATCCCCATACTTATTTCTGTGTATTGTAATGAATAAAGAAATAATACCCTTGCATGGTGAGACGGCGGGAACCCTACTGCTCATCTTAGTACGGAACCAGGACATTATAACTTCCCGAGGTCTAAAATGTTGATTGTGTATAGATGGCATTTTGTTACTTCTAATGAAGTTTGTAGTACTGTTTGTAATACTGTTCACTATGCGACACTCTTCTGACGGAAAAAAAAATCTGTTGTTGGTTATAAAAACAGCATCATACTACATATCCACAAACTTGAATTCTATACATGCTTATGGTTATTGCTATATTCTTATGTTTGATGCTGATTGCCTATATTCCTTTTATGTGACCTAAACTGTAAACATTTATGACTGAATGAAGCTAGCATCAATGGTGTGGTGTTTTTTCCCCCTAGTTTATCGGCACGCACAAGTATGCTGCAGCTTAACAATTTAGCAAACCAGCATGAGCTTCAGTTGCTGTGAGTATTCCTGTTTTGTTTTTGCCTGCTTTTGTTTATTGCCCCTTTGCTTTTATTTCTTTTTTGATCCCTAGGACAGCCTTTATCAAGGCCTCACATGCATGACTCCCCTTATAATTTATTTTCTTTTGCCTGCATCTACCAAATTACGTAAGAACAGTAGTATTACACTCTTTACATAAAGCCATTTCTTTTTGGAACTTAGTTATATCCAACAATAGCCAGTTTGTGCGCTGTTATTACAAGGGGCAGTTGTTCTGAATAGAGGGCTGTTCGTCTATCCGAGAAGCTGAATGAATGGGGCCTTTGCAGCTGACACAGAAGGATATATAAATGCCTAGATTACATCTTAAATATACTGTTTGTTTTAGAGAAAAGGGATACATGTAGATTCTATTCCTTGTGTAACCTTTCAGAAAATTTCTGTTCAAACATTTTATGCCTTGCACATAGGGGTTGTGAATCACTACATTTGAAAGGTATCTTGTGAAGCCCCTTGTGTCTGGAGATATATCCTATCTACAAAGTCAGCAAATACTATGAAATAATTGCATTAAGAAAGAATGTACCATAGCATACCGGGCAAGTGCCCACTAAAAAAATTGGAGATAATCACGAAAAAATGGGGATAAGCGCTTGTTAGGCTCAAGAGCAGAAAAGCAGAAGGGATACATCATAGGATTTAATCTAACAAAAGGGTATATGAGTAATATAGGTCTGACAGAACACCCTAATCTTTTAAGCAGCCACGCCACACTCATCCAGGTTACTTCAGACCGCCACTCTCGCGTCAAGCTTTACCACTTTGCACCAGTGCATGCGCATAAAGCTTTACCACTTCACACCAGTGCAAGCATGTGAAGCTTTACCACTTCGCACCGGTGCACATGCGTAAAGTTTTACCGCTTTGCACTGGTGCATGCGCATAAAGCTTCTTAGCTTTGTACCGGCGTCTTGGAGAAGTAGCCTACACGTAGGAACTCCTTGGCTAGCTGAGTGGGTCCAGAAGCTTACTGGGGTGGGTGCTTGATATGTTCTTTGCTTTTATTTAAAATAGTTTAAAAAAAGTAGGTGCTTATTGTGATATGAGCACATGCTCACTATTTTATGGTTGGTGGATTTTGGTTTGAAGGGACACTAAAGATGATTCTAATCTTTTGTAATTAACACCCTTTACAATTGCAAGAAAAAGATAAACACTTAGTTTTTGTTTTTTAAATTTAGAGACAAGCAATTTTTTTGTTGAAAGGTGCTTGCAATGGTCAGAATATAAAAAGAATAAAGCTAAATGTGTGCCTAGTTTTTTTTTCATCACTCATTAAGAGTGATTCAATGACAATCACTTAACTGTGTGGCACAGTTGAGTGATTGTTTCTAAGCATTCTTTGCCAGCAGAGAGGAGAAGCCAGCAAATGCTTCCACCAGCGATATCTACAGCCAGTTATCCTTATCTTTGTCTTCATATTTCAATTGTGTTACAATGGAAGTTTCCATTTACTTTTTATCGTTAGGAGTATCCCCACCTGTGACACACTCATGGGCTGGTTTATGGATTTCTATCATTGCAAAGCCTGTCTTGGGGAGATAGCTGAATCAGTAGCAGCAGGAAGGTACCATCAAGAAATATCCAAAATAAACTGCAGTTTATAATTAACTTTCATGGTTCTTAAAAAAATTAATGTTCTTAAGCATTAACATCACTTTTTTTTTTGTTTAAGTGTACCTGCATCTCTCTTTGCATGTCTATTTACAGTAGGTCATTTCAAAGAGTGTCTGCATATTATGTTAACTGAATGAAGGTGCAAAAGTTTTCGTAAGCTTGTACATACTACGTACTAGTTGCAAAAATCTGAGACAGGAGTATGATGGTTTTCTGTCCAAAGTTTTTTATTTACGAATGGTCATCAGCTAGCTTCTTTTTAAGTAGTGTCATTATATGTTTTCCAAGTAAAAAATGGGGTAATTGCTAGCCAAAAGATTTGAAAACTGGAGACGGTTTACCTTGTTTTTTACATTGTAGTTTTACTAATACCCTTGCATAGTTGGTTGGACAGTATCTAAAAAGCAAATTGCTTATACATATTTATGAGGATCTGTTGGTCAATTTTTTTATTTGGGTATTGTTGCAAATTGTGTTAGCTCTGACGAATAGTGAATACTAATTGTATATTTTAGGCATTTGTGAATAGTACATTTTGAGTTCGAAGCTAATTCAAAGCGAATACTAGTGGTTTCGGCTGAATATTTTCTAATTTATAATAGAAAAGTTTCTCCAAGCCTTTCATTACTGCAACATACTTAACAAAAATCTAGCTGAACTTGTAAAGGTTGTTTCCAAGCCTCCATTTGGAAAGACAATCACCAATGATGAATACAGGTTGTCAAGGCATTTCTGCTTAACATATGCTCTTGCATATGTTAAGCACAATTTAATTTTGAAAATTCTCTTGCAATGTAAACAGCATTCACAAAGTTTCCATTCGGCCTAAATACACCAGGTTTATGTGTGTATCACTTGCTTTGAAAGTTTGCTTTTCTTGTACACGACTACAATATTTGTACTCTTTAAAGTGTTGTTCAGAGTGGATTAGCTCCGTTGAGCGCTCTCCTTACAAAGCACTGATGCACTGCGAAGAAGCAACACCTGTGGAGATCGCTTCCGTGGGTGTTGCTTCTCCGCAGTGCTCCAGTGCTCGATAAGAAGCATGTTCAATGGGGCTAACTTGTCGCAATCGACACTTGAAAAAGATTTATATGCAGTTCATCTCGAAGAGAATATCGAATAGCATACTATTAGAAACTACTATTAGAAAATTCGAATATGCTCACAGTCCTAGTATTTATTCACATTACATAAATTTGTTTTTTCTTGATGGTGATGGTGAAACTTTGGTTTTTACTTTAATGTTCTAGAAAACACCAGGCCTTTCAGAGCTTAGTTATGAGGCAGTTCTTTGCACATGTTACTTGCTGTATTCATCAGCACCACTTGTTGCCCATTTTCACAAGATGGTGTCTCATTCTTCTTTATTGATTTTGGGGCCCTTTCTGTCTGGACTGTTTATCAAATGAAAGCCCTTGAATGACACACCCGGTTTGGTAGCAATTATATTTTGGTAACAATTATATTTTAGAAAGCAGGTTGCTGTAGTGGTCTGAGGGAAGGCAAGTTAGCTGTAAAATTGGAGTGGGCTGGCTCTCTGGTTTTGAAAAAAAGCTACAAAGTCTTAGCAAAATCAAAATCTGGATTAGCACCAGCTAAGTTAGGCCATCTTTTGGGGGGTAAGTTAGCCTGTGGGATATGCTAACAGCAGACATACAAGCTTCATGGTGTTTGGTGTTTATCATTATGAAAACTTCTAAAAGTTTTTTTGGATGCCTTCATGTTAGCATGTTTTGTACAGTATGTCTTTTTTACAGACCATACTTTGAAATGAAGGCACGGCTCAATGAAGCACTTGAGGTAGGTAGCATTTTATTTAATATTGTTACAACCTGTGATTAGTCAAGAAAAGGCTGATGTTACTGGGATTACTGTTGCAAAAACCTACTGTAGGCAACTTCATTTTTGCAGGCTGAATATTTCGTGAATAATACAAAGGGTCGGTTTTGTCAATATTTTGCGGACAAAAATGTTGCTATTGAGAGTGATATGCTGTGTGTTTGTTACCATAGGGCAATATATTCGTTTAACTTATTTTTCTTGGCAACAGTCACAAAATATGTGAATATTAAGTCCTTGCAAAAATTAAGTCTTTTACAGTATTTACCAAACTGTTGTGCAAAAAATACATTGGAAAATATGTGGTAATGGAACATTTTTATTGCTCCTTGCAGCTACTTGCAACTGCAGACAGTCTATTTGTTTAGCTGAGTGCTACAGTGTCTCTCTTGTGTCTACTTACAGACGGAGCGAAGTCGAAATTCCTAATGTGTCTTTTTATACTTGGCATCAACTTCTCTTCGTGACTTCCGTTCGTCCGTCTGTTCGTCCATGCATTTCCCACTAAATACAGCGGGGAAACTGAATTGGTGTTAAGGTCTAGTGACCTAACATCAGGTAACCTATACACTAATTCTGTTTCTCCGCTAAATTTATCAGCGAAATTGATGTCACATTACCTATGCACCAATTTACTTTCCCCACTGAATTTAGAGGGAAATTTAATGTCACATTACTGACACCTTGAGACCTATACATCAATTTAATTTCCCTACTTAATCTGTCAAAGAATTGCATAAAAAAAAGGTTCTTCGGTCTCCAAATTACAGTTTACACTCTTCTAAATAATTTTAAACAATCCAACCTTAAATGCTGCATTTCATGAATTACAGGACTATGAAGATAAGGGTTACTTCCAATTTTTGTTTGCTGTTTCTCTATCATTGAATGCTTTCTGTGTGCATTTGTTTTGTACTGAAATTAAATAATCATCAAGCAAGAAAAAATTTATGCCATGCTAGACATGAACAAAAAGCAGTGCTCTCCTGGACAAGTTGGGGCATTGAGCTGCCTATTTGCCTTCTACTCTATTGGTCAGTTATATAACATCCTATTGCAAGCAAATAAAGATGCAAAAGAAAGAAACGAAAACTAGAAAGGTAATGTCTCATTGCATCTCAAAATGTAAAAGAAAATCAAATAAAGATTGTAGCTAGCAAAAAATCAAGAGTTATTTGTTCTAGAATGGCGGTTTTACATCAATAAAAGTTGTTAATGAAACTGCACTTTAAATACACAGTACTGTAAAATCCCATATGGGATTTACAGTAAATCCCGTACGGGATTTTACGGCACTGTACTTCCGTGCGATTGCCCATCTCATTTTTCTGGCTCAATATCTAAAACATAAAAATTCGAGACGGGCCCATCACTGTTTGCGTCTTTGATGCTTTGAACTGCTGTCCCAAGCTATGGGCACTTTATAGATGTATTTAGAGCGGTATAGATGTATAATTCAAACTTGTGCACCAGTAGAAAAACAGGACATTGTGAGAAGTTCTAAACAAAAAAATTGAAAGGTGGCCACTGCGGACGTTGCCTTGGGCAAAAATGTCCACGTGTGGAGGTACATTTTAAAACGCTGTACTTTTGACGGAGACAAAACAATGAAACATGTTTTTCATGGAATATTATGAGGGTGTAAAGGAGAGTGATTCCTCCAAATTTGAAAAGGATTGATGATGTGTTTCTTTAATTGGACATTAAATTTTTGAAACTTTTCAAGTTTGGATTTGTTTAAAGCGTTGTAAATAATTTGAATTATAAACTAGAGCAGCAATTTATTTTTTTGATAAGAGACACTTTTATGAAGGACATACGAAAAAAGTTTCAGTTTAATATCCTTAACACATAACGAGATAATGAGTCACAAAAATGGCGTCAAAACGTTAAGGGGAGACGTGGGTCGAAACCTTGGACTATAACCTTTCATTTCTGAAAATATCAAGCTGAAAATCGCACAAGAAAATTTCTAAAAATGCGTCCAAGTGAGCAGTGGTGACGTGAGAACCGGGCAAAAGTCGCGAAAATTTGTGGTTTGCGTCCTTCTGCCGCGAAAGTAACGCGCCACCCGCCATTTCGCATGCGGCGGCAGCCGTCTCCTCTGCTCAATAGTAAAATATGGCTGCTGTGCCCGAAAACCAAGTTCGCCTCCAGGACTACTGTGGAGACGGCCACAGCGATTGCTGTACTTTGGTACAACAAAGGCCATACAGGCTTTGAAAGAGTGCTGGAAGAGATTGGAGTACTTCCTTCTGAACATTTGGTCATGCATGGTGACCATTGCGATCAAATGCGCATCAAGAAAATGAACACCAAGCAAACAGTGGAAGCCATGGCACATTTACGCAGCACAGTGAAGAGGGCCCGGAGCGAGGAAACAACCCGCAAGAGCCAGGAGGGACAAATTTATTGTGCTGGAGGGTTTTAGAAACTTGTCAGTGCATTTTGCCATTGTGGCCAGATTTTATGCAAATAGAGTGGCATTTCAATGAATAGAAACTTCACAAACTTTCAAACTTGGTTTTTCTCATTTTTACGTTTTTTGAAAATTTCACGTTTTCCGGGCAGCCTTTTGTGAACTTATAGTTAACCTATAGTAACGAAATTTGGTACACATGTTCTTCAAGACATGTAGAGGGCTGATATCTAATTGAAACTGAATTTTGTATCAGCATTAGTTATGAAACTTCTTATTGTTTCAAGGTAGACTGAAAATAATTAGGTACAGAGCACAAACTTTTTTTGCATAGTTCTAGTATTTTTGTGCAAAGTGTGGCTAGATATCAGCACTCTGCAATCTCTGAAGGGTCAAATAAGATACAGCACGATACTTTTCTTGTAAATTTAGTATATCAACCTTCCCGGAAAAAGTGCTCTTTTTTTGCATTGTGTATTTCATAACTCGATAACTATAGTAGCTAGGTGAAAACTAAATACATACTTGAAATCCGCATGAAAAACTATACGAAGGGCTGAATCTTTATGTCTCTAGTTAAAGAAATAAAAAAAAAGTTGTTTCGGGGAGCGTATCCCCTTAAAGCAGCCAGATTTATAAATTTTTTGTGTGCGATGTATAATTTTTAGAATTCTGTAAACATTCAAGAGTATGCTAACTATAATTCACTGCTTCTTGAAAAAATCTTATTTTAATACATGCAGTCAAACTTGACAGAACCGACAAAGCCCAAAAATGGCATTGTTGTCTCGGGGCAGTTATGTTTTTTGTCTTTAGAGATATCTGTTTCCTTTTAAAAAACATTTGTGATTTCGTTCCCTCCACGTATTGTCACGAACGACAATTGATGAGGCGACGAAAAATGAAGCAAACTAAACATTTAATGGGGCGAACTTGTGCCGAAAACAGAATAGAAAAAGGCTAGCGTCGCAGGCGTCGATGTCGGCGAAACAGCAGGATCGAACGCTGGGACGAGACTGACTCTGGCTCGCCACGTGGAGCACCTTTTCTACCCACGTGGTTTTCTGGAACATTCGGCGTAGAACGTTCCGTGCATAGAACAGCCGTAACTCAATCAGATGAGTAGGTTCTCAAACTTAACGAGAATGCCAATAGAAAGAATAAATAAAAGAACATTCCGATCTCTGGAATCGAACCTGGATCCTTCATACGACAGCCAAGCACGGTGACCATGCGGCCACGGATGCACTCACTCGGCAATGCATCTGGCAATTTTGGGGAGTAACATATAAAAATATGAAGAAAAACAAAAATGCGAACCAAACTCGCGTGTTCAATTTTATCTGAACACACCCCAAGTTTGTTCTTTACTGTTATTGCATTTGAATTTGAATTTTTTCATTGCACAATCATCGACCTAGATAGAGCTTTTATTACTACTAAGGTAGTATACATTTGTTTTAAATATAGGTTGATTATATTATTTTTATTCCCTGCTACAATTTTTGTGGTGAAATCAGCTGTGCCGGTATTTCTAAATGATAGATTTTTGATGGAATATTACGAGGATGTAAAGGAGAGCGATTCCTCCAAAAGGGGTCTATATGTTTTTTATCCTTGTGCCAAAAACTACACATATGTCATAAAACTGGCGGCTGCACAAAAAATAATTTTTGTGCCACTGACCGACCCGCAGTTGCACGAGAACAGGAAGCATGTAGGGCTGACTTGGCATCTTGGCCTTACCCACGCAGGAGCAAAAGAAGCGGGTGTTCCAGATGGAAGAGGATGTGATGCGCGTCAAGTTCTCCTATACGGAGGCCCTGCACAACCTGGAGGAGATCAGTGACCAGATGCACCAGAGTCGGCTGATGGGAAGCAGCAGCGGGAGCAGTGAGCTCAGCGGAGGGGAGCTCAGCAGCAACAGCGAGGCCGGTGGCAGCCACACTGGCTGCACCGTTGGTCCACATCGTCTAGTCAAGTCCTCCAGTCTCTCCAGCTCTGAGGTCAAGGGAAAGAGGAGTTTTTCGCCTTTTGTGTTTTGACCCAGAATGCGCTTCGACATCTTGGCAAAAGAATTGTGATAGAAAAGGTTCCACATTAAGTGCCTACCCCTCAATTTTATTACATTCAGAAAATACACAAAGAATATATTTTTACATCATGTTGACCTAAGGAGTGCCAATCTCCCAGTTTTACCTGATTATCCACAAATTTGGAGTGAATGTTTGCTCAGGATTTTATGGTGTACAGTCGAGCCCGGATATGTCACACTCGGATACTTCGGATTATTATTTATATGGAACAGTCCAAACATCCCTTTGAAAATCACATGTAATTGTATAGGAGCGTTTTTCTATAGACACTTCCATGGCGAGGACACTCGATATAGCGAACAAAGCAGGGCGGCCCCTCGCTTCTCCTGCGGTCGGATTGCGCCCGAGGCGAGCAAATAGCTTGCGGGGCTGGCAGACCGCCAAGTCAGCAGAGACGCTCATGCACACCTTGAGTACTGATCAGAATTACGTGTTTTCGACTAAAATCAATAATAAAGAATTTATTTCCATCTTACGTTGATGGTGGCAAATGACGATCAAGGAATAAAGCTGTATGGCACAGCTTGACAAGTCCTTGACAAGTCGGCAAAAAAAAACAAAAACATTTACATATTTGATTATCACAATTTAACAAAGCATGTTTCACACATAATATATTTTATCATCGGCTATAACAGGAAAGTGACCTATAACAGGAAAGTGACAGGAAAGTAGGGCAGCCTCGGTAGTTTAATGCTTAATAAAACCAAACTGTGAAGCAGTTATCGAGTTTTGCTTAGTTAAAAAATTAGAGAGTGTATGAAGTACCTTTTCAAGTGCTTTAGAAAATACTGGCAATACGGAAATCAATCTGTAATTACTAATTACCCATATCATTTACACTCCCCTTTTTGTGTAGTACTAACACTTTGGCTATTTGCATTCGTTCAGGAAAAACACCAGTAACCAAAGAAAGATTAAATATATGCGTTAGCACTGACGCTAAAAAATGAACAACATACTTAACAGGCCTTATTTGTAAACCATTCACGTCACAAGCTCCACTATACTGAAGTTGTAAAATCACATTAATGACCTCAGCTTGTACAACCAAATCTAAAAAAAATTGAGCTGCTGTTTCTGTCATCATCAGAAACACAAGACTTTACAGTATCAATGCCACCTCCAATATTCACAAAAGGCTCATTAAAAGCGTTCGCCAAAGACTATCCAGTTAGTTGAACACCGTTACGCACTATTTTATAAATTCAAATAGATGAACGGTTTCGATTTAAAAGAGAGTTTAACTCCTTCCACGTGACATCGTAAACAGCTCTGCCGCCTTGAACACCTTGAAGTAGTAGCGCTCCCTAACACGCCCTCAATTATCACAAATAAAAAAGTAACTGTGACTAGTTATTTCAGAAAGCATGCAATTTACAGGCTCTCTTGATCATCTCATTTATGCCAAGCGACTACATGTACATTAAGAAGCAGCCGCCTGTGTTCACGGCAAAGAATATCCAGGACGTCCTCCGCTTGAACTTCAATGTCACGGTGAACATTCAAAAGCGCTAGACCGAGAAGTCGCTCTATCGAACTGGACACTCTCAGGTATGTTTTCAACCGTTGAACGAAGAGGACAAGCGCTCACCTTCCGCCTTTGTTTTGGGCAGAGTCAGTCGCTCTCTAGGATCTTGAGGAGACGATGGACGTTTGGGAATAGGGCCTGTGGACAGAGGGCGACCGCCTGTAGAGCGCACGTGACGGGCGTTTCACGTTTCTCCCTCTTGCATTTGGCAGCCCATATGAGCAGCTCACATTGGAGTTCAGGAACTGAAACCAGACCTGAATAGAGCTCCAAAAACTCTTCAGCGGCGAAACCTGCCCCGCTTTCCAAGATCTTTGCAGGCAGAAGCGACAAAAGTAATTGCAACGTACGCTGGTTCTTTTTAAATTTCCCATCTAACTGTATACTAATCAGGTAATTCAAGAAAGGAGGGAACACGGAACGCTTAAAATGCTCTTCCGTGCTTCCAGAGGGAATGTTAGAGCGGTGACGTTGCCGACTTGTTACTCGCGGCATCTAAATTTCAACTTCCGCTGTATCGGCCATTTTAATGGTGGCTTGAAATATTGCCAAGTGTTTGTGCATAAATGCTTGCTCTAATTTTTTCATTTTTTTTTTCGTGTTGCTGTTTAATTTTTTTATGACAGTATAGCTATCCTTTTGTTTTGTCTGGCTGGCACGTGTTGGTAATGCAGTGATACTTCAAAAAGCGGGGGGAGTTCTGTGCTGTGAGGAAGCTTTTAAAGTTGGTGGGTTGCAACTACGACGACAGTAGAACAGTGAGCCATCACGCTTGTATTCCTGTAAATGAAGCCTGTTCCATTTTCAATCTGACTGTACAGCTTTACTTGTTTCATATTAACAGCGCCTCCCTAATCTTTGCATGAGCGTCCGTACCGCCGAATTCACCGCACTTCGTCAACGGGAGGGGGGGGGGAAGGAATAATAATGGCGGTGAGCCCCCCCCCCCCCAAATAAAATCCTGGCTACACCGCTGCTTGGGCCATTCATGGAAGACTGACCACAGTGAAACTCTAGTGATGTGTATAGCAAGTGCTCAAGAAATAGTACTTTTTTTTCAGTTGTAGTTGTTTTTAATTTATGGGTTTTGAATTTGTGAAAATTATGAATGCTTTCTCACAGAGCTCTGTGTAACAGTATGGCTTGTATTGGAGCTTAAAGTAATTGGTCGTGGGATTTAACACTTTGTGCACATTTCTTCCCACAAACTTTGTGCTTTGGTAATGCAAGTCTCAAGAAAGAACATTTACCTTTCAGATCTGCTGTGATTCCTTTCATAATTTTGTTGTTGCTGTCAATATTACAATTTCATATTGTAATGTTTAGCAGACCTGTAATGTCTAGCAGAATACTTTGAAGTTTTTTGTAAAAGGGATAAGTGAAATATTACATGTGATTTTCAAGAGTATGTTTGGGCTGTTCGATATAAACAATAATTCGGAACGAAATGAAATAAGAGGTCGTTTCCATGGTGATTTTTTTTCTAGCTATACTACAAAGATAATTGCGATATTTGGAGTATAAGAGGGGGGTCATTTTCAATAAACTATTTAAGCCGAGACAAGGCTTCGCAACATCTGCGGCATTTGAGTTCACCCTCACTTTTTGCCATGACTTCTAGCCTCAACCACCAGGATCGCGACATCCGACAACAAAACACTCCAGCTTCTTTGACATCATTTTATTAGCAAAAATGGAACAATGAACGCTTCGAATCTCACTCTGAATTATTGAGTTCTCCCTTAGGAATTTTGGTCTAAAAACATGTGGTTGCATATACTATTTACGGTAACCTTATTTCTTGCACAGGAAGCAAGGACCGAAACAATGTTATTGAAAACAAAAGCAGCTGTACAAACAAGCACAAACTTAACCATGCTTTGTTTCGCTTTCCACTTGTGCTCTTCATAACGAGAGGTGTTGGAGCTGTGTGCACACTTTTGGTCATTGCAGATGCTGAAAATTTATGAGGACATCTGCAATGATGAGATGTACCGGAAACTTCCCGAACCTCAACGGGTCATTCCAAGGCGGCCCCCGGGGATCCGGAGAGCGTTCTCAGAGGTGCGTTTGTCCAACTCTTGAATTGACTGAAACTTCACTGCCACACTTGCTCTGGTGCATCAACATTTTAACCATAATATTTATGTCGGCTTGTAAATACTTTTATTTAGAAATCTTCCTGCTCTGCGCACTCCTGATTCTCCTCGAACGACACAAACAAAAAGGTAAAAGAAAGAAAAAGAAGTGTTGTGAATAAAAAAAAAGCTAAGTTACTTGAGGGTGGAATATTGCCCCTTTTGTATAGACATAAGATACAAACTGGTTGCACGAATCAGGTTAATTTCTAAAAAAATGACATCTATGCTTGAAATTTATGCTTTTCATTGGTGTGCTGTGTCTACATTTACCCTGCATGCTAAAATGATGGCTTTTGGCATTACACAAAATTCTGTTTAAAGTTTAAAAGTAAAGAAACTTCATAATATAAAGGGACACTGACAGCCCCCCAAAATGTATTTTTATTTTTTCCTGGCAATTTAAAATACTGTCAGAAGACTATCCAATCAGTATTAGGGGCAAAGCTCCTTAGGGGCTAGCCATGTCCGTATGTCCATCCGCCATCAGGTCCACATGGTCCTGCTCGTGAGCTCACGTGCTCACAAGCACGTGAGCACGTGCTCCTGTGCTCGTGTAGGGAAAAAAAAAAAAAAAAAAAGAACCACATCTTTACGTGGTGAACGATGTTGGTTGGGGCGAAGCTCTGGTGGTCCTTCTCTGCGTAGACTGTGAGCCGCAGCATGCCGAGCCTTTTGTTCGTTTTCATTCATTCATGTCAGAAAGAGAATGTGTGGTATGGAACGTGCTTATATACGCATTTCAGTATTTGACCGCAGCGTGACATGGATGAAAACGAACGAAAGGCTCGGCATGCTGCGGTTCAGCGTCTACGCAGACAAGCACCACTAGAGCTTCGCCCCAATCAACATCATTCACCACATGGAGATGCGGTTGTTTTTTTTGCTACAGTGTCATATATCAATCAATCAATGAGTCTTTATTTTTGGCCTTATAGCCAACGGTGCCCCATACAAAAACCTGCCTTGACGTGGCCCCAGGTATATTTTTAATAGAGCCAAAAAACGCAACTGCTTAAAATCAAAACCGAAACTGGACTGGGGAGGAAGCAGAAATGTAGAGAGGAGAGTTTCCGCAACTCACATCACTAAACCCGACCACATTTTATTTTTTCTTTGATTCTTTGGGTGTGTGAAGCAGACTAAAAAGCGCACATCGCAGGAAAAACGCACACGTCAATCAAAAAGTGCTTGACTTTTCGCGTTTTTCTATCTCTTTCCAATTCATGATCGCAAGACAAGCAATGTCTTCAGCCATTAGAAGGGGCGATGACTCAATGATGTCTTTCTGTTAATCAGCTTGGAGGTCAGATGTGTCGTACACAGTAAATCCTAATTGTTTTGATCGCTAAAAATTTATCTTGTGAAGCTAGACAAATTCGCCTGAATCGCAAACAACAGCTCTGAAGTGGAGGTCCCACTTCGTTGTCCACAGCCATCGCTTAGTTCGCTTTGTCCAGCCCATGTACGACGCCATGTTGAGAATTGTGCAGAGAATGCACAAAGCACTTCCTGTAGTCTGTGCAACTTATTTTTTTCAAGCAACATATTATCAGCATTTTAGAAGCCACAAAAAAAATGGGCTTTATATATTTTTCTATTTTTAATATTGAGTGTGTGCCTTCAATGACCCACGAATTTGATTATATTTCGTGTGTGTGTTTAAACCATAGAAAATGGCACGTGACCACAGAGAAGAGAGTGAGCGCGACTCAAACTGGCCAGTTCTTGATCGGTAGTTGTTGGATGGAAAGAAAACGAATTTTGAGCCGCAAAATGTCTTGTGGGTAGTTGGGCGCTCAAATGTCATGTACAAATAAAAACCTTAGCAAGCATAAATACCCAGTCAGTGTCCCTGCAATTGCTTAATGATTTACGCATTTCTTAAACTAGAGCTGAATCTTTAAACACGGTGCTCTTCTAAAACTGTTTTGGTAGCTCCTGCCAATGGCTTGTTTCATCAATGCAGGAGGAACGTGGAACAGCAGCTTTATACCACCGCACCACGGAACCACTTCGGGGCCTGGTCTCCTCGTTGGTGGACCGGGTTTTCACTGCAAGGCAGGCCAAGGTTCCAGAACCGAAAGCATCCTCAACTCCTCTCGCAAATGACCGGGTGACCGCAGTGTCTGCAGTGCCTCCTCTGAAGCAGCTTGTAGCCAACGTCGTGGACCGCATGTTTCCAGAAGCTTCGAGCGACCACGACCCTTCTCGCGACAAACATCCCCAAACGGACGAGTCTGCCTTACCCTCGTACGAAACTCTCAATCTTTCCGTAACATGGACACGGGTTAAGTGAAATTAACTTTTCTTAGGGCCAACTTTTGCCGGTCATATTTTTTTTTTATTTTAAAGCTTGCGTAGAACTATGAGTTTTTGTGAGGCAGGGGATAATCTAGTTTCACCTTTCCTGGGCTGTGTAGGAAAAAAGAGAAGGAAATGAAGGACTAAGAAGGGGGATCGTGACTCTGCCTATTCTCTACTGAGAAGGGTGAGGAACAGAGAGGATGTGTGAGAAAGAGAAGTGAGAAAAGGGACAGCGTGTGTTATGCACTGGTCTTTAGGCCTTTTTGGTCATTCTTGCAAGTTACCTAAATCTCTAGAAAAGACATGGAAGTGTGTGTATAGCCCTGTAAAGTGCTTTTGAGTGAGCAGTGACACGAGTGCATTCAATTCTCTCCTGAAGAGAGCCTTTCAGAGCGCTGTGGAAAGGGTATAAAAGCTTTAGGAACTTCCCCAGTTTAACGTGTGGAGTAATGATTTTTTTTTCAAAACTCTGAACTAGCAAAACAATATGGAAGGGCTCTTAGGATCTGCTGGTTAGCACATACACATTTTGATAAAGTCTCTTACATTTGCTTTGGCTAAGATGCACAGTTTAGTAGAATTGATGCAGATGTGATTTGGCAGGATGGTGGTACTATTGTCATCTTGACAATGCTCTTTACTGCAGTTTGTTCTTGTTTAAATGGTTTAATTTTATTTGAATAGAGAATGCACAATGGAATGTTAATTTCCTATTTGATATTGAGCATCAATATAATCAATTAATTTATGTCATTTTACCTATACTCCGTCCTTCCCTAAGCTGACAGTGGAGTGGAAGCTGCATGTTTATTGTACCACTTGTACGTCTATCGTCCCATGATCACACTCCCGCCCATACCCACGTGCAGAGAGCAGGGTCAGAGTTGATGAGAGGCAGGTGATCAATTGTTCCAGCACACTGTCATCTTAGGACTGAACGGAGTATAGACAGTATCACAAAACCATGGCAGCTATAGAGGTAGAAATTGAAACGGAGGAGGAGATGAGAGCACACAAAGTCGTTAGAACACCAAGCTCCGGTCTGAACAATTAGTGGGTAAACGCGAAGCTAGCTTTGTCTCTGCTCACTGTTCGAAGGCGAACACCCGGCATCGGATGCTTGCATGTGGCATTTGAACATGGAGAACAGCGAGTAGGGACAAAGGCAGCTACATTCACATCTACCCACTAATCATTCCTACCAGAGTTTGGCGTTCTAACCTCCCTGTATGCTTTCATTTCCTCCTTTCCCTCAATTTGTTTTTGTATATATGGGACTTCCAGAACAAAAGCATCACCAGAGTTTATGCATTCGTGTTTAGGTAGCTGTCAGGACGAAGGATTTAATGTGGCAAGCAGGTCTTTACTCAAATGTTGTTCAGATCGTTGAAAACATGCGACAACGTTGTTGCAGAGCATCGAGTGTTCCACTGGCGACACTGGAAGATCTCTCCCCAATGGTGATGCTGGACATTGAGTCATCCTTGGCAAGAGCTACTCAGGGCCTGTGCCTGGACATGATCACTCCACGGCTGCAGCCCGTCGAAGAGGGCTCGGACACAGACAGTCTCCTGAGTACAGGGACCGGAGGCACGCTAGACGACCGGCAGATCGACTGTCTGCTTCTAGACCGTGTCCTTGAGGGCGACTACCAAGACGTTCTCAACTCCTTTAAAGAGTCCAACTTGTAGAAGCCCGCTCCCAGGAAACTATGTTTGCTTGTGCACAAAGCCTATGCATGTGTTAGACCAAATGCAGCTAAGATTGAGTTGTGTGGTAAGAGAGGATGGCAGTTGCAGTTGTACCATGATAAGTGTAACCTCTATAGTAAGTGATGGGTTATGAACCCAGTAAGTGCTCCGCCTAAAGTGCGAGCTCTCTGCCTTTGACAATACTTCATTGTACGCTCAGGCAAAGCCCGGTGGAAAGCAATGAGCATATGATGGAGGCAGAGCTTCTACTGTTTCCTTAACCTGTTACCAACTATAGTAGCTTCTCAGCCCCTTTAAAGGAGCGGTGCAACGATATTCAATTGGAATGTTTTTCACTTTACACAAGCTTACTGGCACTATTGGGACTCAAGGATGCTCGCACGCAACGCCACTGGCCAAGAAACTCCTTTGTTGCGGTGTAATTTCAAGGACAAAAGCGATCATTTTCATTCAATCTCTCCTTTGCAAAATTTGATGACGTAACGTGGGGATTGCAGTACACCCCAATGATGATATTTGAATGCGGTTCATAGATTGGACCCGAGAATTGCGTGAGCACTCGATTTGGGCTCGTGATAATTACTAGCTCGAGAAGCATTCGGGTCGTGGCCCGTGTCCAATCGCTGCAACGACGACTGTAGCCAAGCCATAACAATGTCGGGAACTCAGCGCGTGTCCTGTACTTTGCCAACCCCAGCACGTGGCTATGATCAACATTGGTGGCATATAATCGGCTCCAGATCACGTGGCCGCTTGTTCTGGCTGAGAGTTGAGGGGTTGAACGCTGCTCGGTTTTCTTTAATTTTTTTTCTGGGACTTCAATTGCGGGGTGAAAAACGAATTCGTGTTTCATAGGTCGTTAACGTAAGGGATCCATTCTGAGCGGTATTTGCGCAAAGTACAAAAATTGTTGCACTGCCCCTTTAAGCAGTTGATTGGATTGTATGAAATATTATTGTTTCGATTTCCTGACAAATGTTTTCCTAATGATGTAATATTTATATGTTTTGGGAAAATGGGACTATAGTCTTGCTGGAGATATTGTGAGACAGCAAAGTGAGACATGATGCATAGGTTTTGGTAATACTTTATAAAAGGTAGGTCTAGTCAGAAACCTGATATTTTATTTTCAATTGAATATTCCTTTCAGACCGGATTGAAACTTCCACAAAGTACCTTATTCCTCGCAAGTTTAGCTTGCTCATACTCTTTTTGTTTCAACACTTTTCCAGGTACTTTCCTGTTCATTTGTTGGTTGAAAGCATATTCATATCTGCTTAACATTTCTACACAATCAATTACATCAATGATTTTAACAACTGCTTCCTGAATAGTTCAAACTCTAATTGGTTTGCAAGATTTTTTGTGAGACTCATTTAGGGCAAATGCAATTTATGGCAAGTCTTCGGCCAAATCAGAATATGTAATTAAAAGTATGCTACATTCTACGATGAAAAGAATAAAAGATGTGCTATATAGTATTCAAAATTTACATATACTTTGAGAAACTTTTTAGTTGACATAAAAGATTGTTTATACTGTACAGTTCAATAATCTAGGCTTCTATTATTATTAGCATATGGTCTTTCTTCTAAGAGTGCCAATAATAACTTTTATTCGAAAATTAAAATGAAATCAGCAATTCTATATGAAAACAGGGCAAGTATTGTCATCTTGGAAAATACAGGAAACTAGCAGGGAATTGACCTATAACATGGCTATGAAGTTGGTATTTTTATGGCACACTTTCCTTGGTAGGCTGATTTAAGTCATTTGACCACAACTCTTGCAACAGACTGTTGTGTCTATCAGGTAAAAATCATTTAAATAGCATTCGGCACTAAGAAAAAATCCGAGGACACCTAAGTACTTCTTATGAGTTGTGAATGCGAAAGCGTGAATGTCGTTCTTCCGCTCCCTTAGTTCGTCTGCGGCGTACTGGCGTGGACGGCCACGTGTCGCCGGCGGACGACCGAGCGCGCCCTTTCGTGAAGTGGCCGCGCTGAGCTTGGCCGTGCGACCACTCTGGAATCTGCCCGGACGGGCTCTGGCTCTGCCGCCACCACTTAGCCACCGCTTCCTTCTTTTACTGGCGGTCGCGCCGCTGCGTGCGCTGCGCCGCCATAGAAAGGGCTTCTCTGGTGGCTTTTTTTTTTATTACGCCGCACGAGAGCCAATGGGAGCTCGTTCCTTGATGACGCGTGCCAGCCAATGGGAGCATAATCCACCAGAAATCGGCTTCACTTGGGAAAGGGGATTTTAGGTGCCGTTTGGCCAACGTTTGGCGTGGTTTCAGAGCTGACGAACTATACTTCAACTTGGCCAACCAGAAGTGGTGAGATCATAGTACAACATGAACTACTGGTTATAGACACCTTTATTTCATTAGATTAGGTAACTAACTTTGCTAAAAATCTCAGAGATGCACAAATGAAATTATGTAATATGTCCTGTCAAAGAATTGTGTAAAGTTGCTCATATCAATATCGCCGTGAGCAGCATACATACGTTTTTTTTTTCTTTTTCAAAATTTTGTTTGGAATTTTTGGAGGAATAGCGAAGACAATATTTTGCAATCAAAGGTGGAACATAAAATAAATAGAATAAATTTTTGCTGAAAAGAGAACATGTCAGCTCTACAAGTTCAGCAAGCTAACAATTTCTACATTGCGAGAAAAGCAGGTTTGTGATAATTTTAAGGAGCAGGCAGAACAATATGTCAGAATGTTGTCGATCGAATGCAAGACTGTCAATTTTAGACAACTTGTGGCAAGTATCATAGAAATGGTTGTAATCTTAAAAGGTTGTAAGGGTTAATATTCGTCATTTGTGCGAACACATTCGAACAGTGCCTATTCTTTAATCGGTACAGCGGTTCCTCCAGGAATTGAAATTAGGGGGGAGGGTGTCTAAATTTGTAGGGGGGGGGGGGGGGGGGGTGCATTGAGAATAGAGGAGTCGTGAATTATGGGGATGCCTTCGGAAAAACAAGGGGGAGGTTTACACCCTCGTAGGGTGGATGAAGGTAAATCACTGAATCGGTATACTGAAAACGAATTTCATATTGAAAAGGTGTTATCCACATATAAAACTTCGATCATCCTCACATCTCACCGTATCTTTTGTGAAATACATCTCCACGACATTCCAAATTTTTGTTTATTGTTGGTGCTTGTGAAACTTTAATTCCAGTTTAATGACTGAACTCACAACTTTTAATGGTACAGGGGTGATCAACTTGTTTATTTTACTTTTTTAATATTTGTTGGAACTCCCGTGCAGTTTCGTAAATCCCGCGCGCCCATCTTATTGTTTTTCCCCAGCGCACCCGTGCGAACGGGAAAGCCCATCTGCCAGGCAGCTATCGTTTTTATATCCGAAGCTATTTTAAAGGGAGCGTGAAAAGAAAGCTGTCGGTGGGAGAGCGGATGGCCCTACTCTCTCTCATATGCCTATCTTATTGAAACATCGTGACTTTCGGTAGTGTGTAGAGGTCCGAAGTAGCTATCTGTTGCCGGGATTGTTCATATTCGTCTTTGTTTTTAGTTTGCTATATATTTCGATTTCAGTCCCATCGTGTTCCAGCTCCTGCCAGCCCGAATAGGCGGGTCATCTGCCGACAAGGACTATTTCCTATTTCTCCTCAAGGACGTGACACGCGTTTGTATAAATGCAAAATCGGTAGGCAAGGAAAAAAAAAAAAATATTACGAATGTTCTTTTTGCTGTTATATTTGCAAAAACCGCTGCGCGTAAACAGAAGCTGACGCCTGTTTCATAGGCTTTTGAACGCGAGTAGTTTATTCTGATCACCATACTCCGTTTCACCTAAAAAAAAAAAATATATATATATAGAGGAAGTTTTGCGCATTGTTCATACGCCGCGCGAGGTAGTACGCCGAGCGCAAATTCGTCTGCTACTTTTGCAGGGGGTTGTGGTGACGTCAGAACGTCGAGCTCTGATTGGCTCTGATTGAAGGATAGTGGGTAGACCAAGTTGCTTGGGGGTATACTCACTATCCTACAATCAGAACCAATCAGAGCTCGGCGTTCTGACGTCACCACAACCCCCTGCAAAAGTAGCAGACGAATTTGCGCTCTGCATAGGATTTGGTCGTCGCAGGAAGAAGCGATGCTTTTGCCGTCTAAACTTGTATGTCTTGATAAATCAACTATCCGATCTGCAATGCACCTACATATATCTTAATTCTTTACATAAAGAGGGAAATTAGTAACTCTCCGTGAAGAGCCGGACTTTCTTGTCTATAGGGTTTTTGAGGTGAAAGTATAGTTATCTATAAAATGAAAACAGCTTTGGTCAAAGCTAAACGTGTAGTGGAATGTGCTTATGGGGGTAGAGGGCAGCTACCCCCATACTCGGGGACAACTTGGCAATAAAGTCAAAGGTAAAGACACGCTTGCCCTTTTGAGTGCCGATTAAAGCTGTGCGCGCGCTCTCTCCTCGGAAAAGTAGAAGCTCCTGCCAGCGCGAGCTTTCTACGTGCTATAACACCGTGGTACAGTGTAACCGTGGCGCACGCACGACGCAAAGCAACGAACGCGTGCTGAAAGCGAAGCTTCTCCTGGAGATCCTGTGTTTCAACCATAGAGGTATTATAATGCACTCTAGAGGCTCAAGTGGAGCTAGTGTGCTGACGCTAATTGAAGCAGACAGCAACCAGTCGAACATTGACTTCCAGTAATGCATTTCTATGGGAAAAAGTGAGTGCATGTTCTCCCTGCGCTCGATCGTAAGAGCAAATATCCCAAATAATTCGTATGTACTAGGTAGCTTGGAACATTTCTCAGTCAGGCCGACGAAATAATTAGTCAGTTACGGCGTTTTTCTCTCGAATTCATCGTATTAAAAACTGGTAAAACGGCTTCTTATCTGTACTTATGTGCGCTGTCGGACACTTAGCGCGAACGCGGCGTCGGCGATTTCCAGCATGGGAAATATACATGCCAAACGCATCTGGAAAATCGAGAGCGGCGGCAAGAACTATACGCAGTAAAACTGGATCAGTAACTCGCAGTGCATGTACGATTAAAATAAATTGAAGGCCACGTAATCTATTTCGCTTTTAAATAAGTATAGCACCACTTTATTCTTTCTGCCCTGAGCGAAGCTACTTGTTCTACGTCCAAAATGTCACCCGCGCGCTCGATATCTTTGAGAACAAGTGCGCGATAAAAGCTGCCCGGCAGAGAAAACAATACGGAGAGGCCTTTCATTGCCCACGGAATGCGTTTTGAAGGTTTTTATCCGCTCAATGCACGAAGCGATCATTTTCATATAGTGACAGGACTGTCATATTATCAATATACAAGCGTCACCGGTATACTGGCGAGCCTTGAACACACTCTATATTCGTTTCGATTGTAATTTTGCTTTGAAGCGTCGCTTGTTTTTACGCACCTGCTGCGGAACACACATTTGGGACTGGAATGTAGCGAAGTTAAACATCGTTCACTGATGAAGAAAAATGTGCTAACTAAAGCAATTTCACTTTTACAGTGTTATTCAAGGTACATGCTATTCGGTACGACCCAAATAACCAAAGTGTTCCGTGTTACTTTCCGGCGAAGAGACAAAATGCACGTGCGTTTTCCCATAGGAATGCACAGGAGCACCGCAAAAGTAGATCGACTGGTTGCTGTCTGCTTCAATTTGCGTCACGGAAGTCGCATAGACACTAGCGCCAGTTGAACCTCTAGTGTAGATTATAATAACTCTATGATTTCAACAGGCGTTTACGGCGTGTAGCTCTCAACTTTGGCCAGCGCCTCTGGCGAGCGAAGTTCAATATTTATCGGTCGATCGCCTTATGGTTGTGACAGTGCCCTGGGTTGTGCGTCATTGCACTTTTTCGTTTTTTTCGCGGAAGATAAGCTGGCAGTATTTCATCGGTAGATAAACTTAAAAAAAAAAAAAAAAAAAAAAAAAAAAAACTATCTTTGTTTGTTTCTTCAAGCTTGTTTTGTTCTTTCAAATGCCCTGTTACCGCGCTTGAACATGCTGACGCACGCTTGCAAACGACTGTGGCTCGCGCATTATCGAACGCTGCAGTGGCGCTTTATGCTCGATCATAGCATCCTCTATTAGCGGCGAGATGTTTTGGTGGCGCCCTCCCATGGCTTCCTTTCGTGACGTCATTACCTCGCGAACAAGAAGTTCGATGGTGTTTGCATTGAGCATGGTGGAAACTTGAAGTCATTATGCTGTCAAAGCGACACTGTCAACACCATCAAAATTCAGGCTCTTACATTCCTCTTATTTTCATCGATGAGAAATCCTTTCCTGACGTCATAGTCAGCATTCGGCAAATCATGGTCGGCTGACCACAGCGACGCTTTCGATCGCACACGTCGTCAATTCTTACAAAGCCTGGAAGATCGCCACGAGACGGGGCCTACGCAGCCGCCGAAAGTGAAAAGGTAGAGCGGCAGACAACGGATGAGGAGAGAGCCATGTAACGGGCGCCCCGCTGCGCT